ATCTGGAGACTACTGTTCAGAGAATGCAGCTGTGCAGGCCTGCACTAAGTCAAGCAGCTGACTGACAAACACCCCCTTCTCCCTATCTCCTTTACTCAATAAATACTATAAATATTGTACTACAAATACTATACTCAATAAAGGGCTATAGAAGCTCAGGGTCCTTGTTCACTAAAAGCAAGGACCCCTGACCCCTTCTTCCAAATACATTCTTTTGTCTTTGTCTTATTCTTGCGTTCGTCCTCCTTTGTTCACTCCAACAGGGATTGGGGCTGTGGCATATATATGTCTCACATATATATATATATATATATATATATCTATCTATCTCCATTCAATGGAATATTATTTGCAATAAAAAAGGACATACTATACATGCTACAATGTGGATGAATCCCGAAAACATATGCTAAGTAAAAGAAGCCTATCATTAACTATCATATGAGATACTATTTATATGAAATGTTCAGAATAGGCAAATGAGACAGAAATTTGAGTAGTGGTTTCCTGGGCCTGGGTGGAGGCTAAGAATGCGAAGTGAATGCCAAAGGGTAAGGGGTTTCTCTATGGGGTGAAGGGAATATTCTGAAATTATGTTGGAGTGATGGTTGTACAATGTATTAAAACCCACTGAAATGCTCACTTTAAACGGCTGAATTGTAATGGTATATAAAATATGTCTCAATAAAGCTATCAAAAAATAGGGAATAAAGAAAGGGACTGCATCCCCTCGTCTGGTCAGCTGTCACTTTGCCACCTCCGTCTCTTCTTGGTCCCCCTTCCCTTATGCCTGAATCCCCCCATCAATCACCAACTTCCTCTTTCTCCCTCTCCCATTGCTGTGGTTCTGTAGACAGAACTAACCTCACATGGAATGCTCAATCAAGGTTCAGCTGAGTGATGTCCCTGAAATGGAGGAGTTTGCCTCTGTCCCTTCAGAAAACTTAAGCAGGGCCGGGTGTGATGGCACATGCCTGTAATCCCAAAATTTTGGGAGACTGAGATGGGCAGATCACTTGAGGTCAGGAGTGACCAGCCTGGCCAACATGGTGAAACCCCTATCTCTACTAAAAATCCAAAAAACTTAGCAGGGCATGGTGGCGTAAGCCTGCAATCCCAGCTACTCAGAAGGCTGAGGCAGGAGAATCGTTTGAACCCAGGAGGTGGAGGGTGCAGTGAGCTGAGATTGTGCTACTGTACTCCAGCCTGACCAACTAAGTGAGACTCCATCTCAAAAAAAAAAAAAAAAAAAAAAGCTTAAGCAATGAAATGACAGAATATGTGTCAAATGTTCTAAAGCTACTGGGGCACGGGAAGATAATGAATAGGTATTAAATGCTCCTTATGTTTCAGGTACATCATTACCATGTACTTCAGCCAGTAGACAGTTATTACTGTGCTCACTACATGTTCAACAAATACTTACTGAGCATTTATTATAAGCTGGGCTGCGTTCCAGATGTTGGTCATATTGTAGTGAACCAAATGGACAAAAAGACAAAACATTTCTTACTCATGGGGCTTACTGGCAAAACAATAAAATTAATTACTTCAACCTAAAGCATGCTGACAGGTGATAAGCACGTGGAGAAAAAGCAGGAAGTGACGAGCAGCGAGTGCGGTGCAGGAGGGAGGCTGCAACTTCAGATATGGTAGCCAGGCAACAGCTTCCTGATGTGCCCTTTAAGTAAAGATGAGGAGGAGGAGGGCAAGACGCATCTCAAGCATGCCTGGGTCAGAGGGGGCTGGATGCCAAGGGGGCTGGGTGCAGAAGTCCCGAGGCAGGTGTGTGTCTGGTACTTTCAGGGAACAAAGTGACTGCAGCATGACACTGAGGAGAGTGGAGGCAGCTGGACAGAGATGACAGGGAGGCTTAATCTTGCTGAGCCCCGTCAGTCACGTAAGGGCTTTGTGTTTTCCTCTGAGATGGGAACCACTATAGATTCTGAACAGAGTAGAGTGCAAAGTGAGAAAAAAGAGCAGGACCAAGCTCCTTCAGCTCTGGGTCATGACTGATTTTTCTACAGATGAACATCTGACCCCAAAGGAACTGGGGCCTCCAAAATTGAAAGAGGAGACTGATTTAGAGGGTGTGTGGCCTTAAACAGAGAGGTGATGAAGCTAGGGTGGGAAAAGCTATTCATACTGTCCTGTCACATCCCATCGGAAGCAAGAAAGCCGACCTGCACATTAAGACTCCAGAGTCACAGCAGCGCGCAAAGGTGAGAGAAGCAGCCAGAAGGAAGAGAAACCTACAGTGGGCCTCATTCTACAGACTGATGTCCTTCCAGACCTACAGGACAAGGGATATGTGGGACCTGCCTGGACCTTCCAATATCTCCTTCTGCCTTGGCCTCTGGCTTTCTCATCCTTCCAACAGAAGATCCCAGTTCAGACAGGCGGTGAGCTTTTCATGTTGTCAAGGTACCACCTGGGACTAAAGTGGGTGCTATGCATGGTTCTCAGGATCAGCCAGCTTGGGTGACTCCTAAGGGAAGGGCAGGGCCTCGTGGAGGGGCAGCTGGATGCCAAGGCCTTTCTGCTCACCTCACCACAGGTCTGGCTTCCCCCAGCTGCTGCAGGAACACCACAAAGGCCTCTACATAACTCAGCAAGGTGCAAATCAATTACCTCACTCCCTTTCGAATTTCCTCATGTGGCAGTATCCATAGGAGAGCTTTCAGCATATTCTACAAGGCTAAAAAATACACTTAGTGATCTTAAGTTATTGTTGTGAAATATTTGCTTTGGGTGAAGTAGGTTTGGGTGTCTGAAGGGCCTGCAGGCTCTCTGTCCACAGCAGGCTGCCGCCCTACTCCGTGTGGGAAGCAGGGCCAGGACTAACTGCTCTTCCTGCCCCATCGCCTTCTGAGCAGCATGCCAAGATGCCAAACACATGCCCAGTGAAAATAAGGGGTTAATGAATGCATCTCTGTCAACTCTAGGCCAGACTTGTCCTGAAAGACTATTTCTAACTCTAGGGAACACGAGGAGGGAAGAACAATTCTACAAGAGTCTTGCTCAAGGCACACATCTCTATGCCCTCTGCCCATAAGCATGCAGCTGGGCTGAGCCTTGGCAGACAGCAGTGACCAGGGGATAGGCTGTAGGGCTGCACCCACCACGAAGGCCTCCAAGGCTGCTCCTCTCCAGCTGCAACCAACAAGACCCCCATGCAAACTGGCATCCTGGCCAACACCAGTCTATTTCATAGGACAAATGAAGATTTCAATAGTTACAATTATTCACAAGAAAAGTGCCAGTCCTACACTACTCCAAAGAAATGAACTCATCAGCCGTGTCATCTTCGGTGAGTGATGCAGAGGGCAGCGAGGGATGCCTGTTAGATGTTCTCTCAAGGCAAACACTGGGTGAGCTGCGGGGTTTAAATGCTGGCCCTGTCCTCCACACGACATGAACATCCTTCAAGCTAAATAATAACCCCGACCAGGAGGGCACTATCATTCACAGCCAGGCCATATTTTTCTCAGGAATTAAAGGTAGAAAAAAAGAATCCCCACCCCGTTCCATCTACAGCAACTTCAAAATAAATCCTTCCTCATGGCATGTAGTCTAGTACTAATTTCATCTATGGTTTCATTTGAGCTTTTCTTACTCTTCTTTTCCCTTCACTCAATTTCCCTACATAAAAATCTCAACCCTGTTGCCCTGTTGTGTGTTTTGGTTAGAATCTGAAATCCCTTTGAGGAACAAAGCTGGGCAATACATACATTTCTCAATTATGACATAGGAACCTGCAATCATTCCTAATCATCTAATGATTATTTGATTTTTCTATTATCCTTCAGGCTGTGAGTTCAATGAGAAGGAATGAACAAATGGATGAACAGATGAATGAATGAGCAAACAAGCCAACAGGGTTTCTGTTCAGTTAGCCTCAGAGCACACAGTTCTTCATGTGGTGGAGACACAAAGAGTCCTTCGGTCGCCTGTAAAGCTTCTACTAGACAATTGTCTCTTCTCAGAAACTACAGGAAATGGTATTCTGATCTCCAGGATAGCTCATGCACAGGTAAAGCTAATTTCTCATCTAAGTCACACACAATGTAAAAGGTCAGTGACAAAAAGGGTTCCATTGTTAAATCTATTTCCCAAGTGAGATTTGACCTAAATAGTGCATAACATTTTAAGAATCCAAGAATACTTTTTCTTTTGAGACAGGGTCTCACTCTGCCCCTCAGGCTGGAGTGCAGTGGCATGATCACGGCTCACTGCAGCCTGACCTCCTGGGTTTAAGTGATCCTTTCACCTCAGCCTCCCAAGTAGCTGGGACCACAGGCACGTGCCACCATGCCCAGCTGACTTTTAAGTTTCGTAGAGTCGGGGTTTCACTATGTTGTCCAGACTCATCTCAAACTCCTGGGTTCAAGCGATCCTCCTGCCCTGGCCTCCCAAAGTGCTGAAATTACTAATGTGAGCCATGGAGCCCAGCCATAAAAATAAATTTTTATTTTTTCTTGAGTCTTAAAATACACATTACCTCCATACTGTCTCTGAATATCCTGCAGACATATTTACTCAAAAGTCACAGAACAGAAGCTAAGAATATACACACCCCTTCCTAGACAAGTGTTCATGTAAAATGAGCGTATTCATCATATCTTACTAATATTATTACAATTTTTGTAGGGAATCAACACCAGGAAACCTAGACGTTTATAGGGAGTACCTTGGCCATTTGATCACTCCCTTAGTCCTACTGTTTTACTTACCTGCATTTTTAATTTCAGCATTTATTGGATTTGAACGTGATTTCACAAAAGACTTTAGGTGGGCGCTATGGAACAATCTTCACATCCTCTTCTGGGATATCTATCCTCTATTCTCCCAGGAGAATGACAACACTGAAGCTTATGCCACAGTGTCCACAGGGTAACCTGGTGAGGATTCCCCGCTCAAACCCCACTCCGCTGAGTGACAGGAATGGGCCCTGAACCACTCTGGCTGGGGATGGGTGTGGCCATCCTGAGAGCACTCACCAGGGTGACGATGGCACATTCAGCCGTCAGCTGAGCAGCACTGAACAGTGTCCGAACGAACCGGTAAATCTGCTTCTGCTCTGGGTTGTGTTTGTCATAATCTGGTGGCACTTCGGATTTCTGGGGAAGAAAATATTTTCAGATGACTGCTCTCCCAATCAGAGCAAAAAAGAATTAAATCATCTCATGAAACACAAGGAGGAGATTACCGAAAGAGGGTGAAGGTTTTCATCAAAAATATCTAAGAGCATCCTTCCATCTGGGTCCCTGGTAGGGAAAATAATAGAAAATGAAACTTACTTTCTGCAAGAACGTCATTCAAATAAAACAAAAATACATTTTAATTCAATGACTTTTTTTTTTTTTTTTTTTTTGATATGGAATCTCACTCTGTGGTCCAGGCTGGAGTGCAGCAGTGCCACCTCAGCTCACTGCAACCTCCACCTCCTGGGTTCAAGCGATTCTCCTGCCTCAGCCTTCCAAGTAGCTAGGATTACAGGTGCCTGCCACCATGCCCGGCTAATTTTTTTTTTTGTATTTTTAGTAGAGACAAGGTTTCACCATGTTGGCCAGGCTGGTCTCAAACTCCTGACCTCAAGAGACCTACCTGCTTTGGCCTCCCAAAGTTCTGGGATTACAGGTGTGAGCCACTGTACCCAGTCAATTCGACTATTTCAGGAAACACAAGTCAGTGCTAAATGGTTATTCATGAATAATGATTTTTCTTGGGTGCAATACTTAATCACTTTTGATTAAAATAGCCCAAAGAAATAAACGTTATAAACCACACTTAGCTAAATTAAGTAAAAATTTAATTTTAATGCTCTGAGTTTTCAAATGAACCAAATCTAGGCAAATGACTTAAATTTGACATCTTATTTCCAAGCAAAGGTTGATGGATCTGTTTAAGCCATTACCATATTGTGGGTGATAGGAAAGAAGTGCCAGGGTAAGAATGAATACTCAATGTATCCTAGAAATCAGTCTTATTATTCACAACATGCAACATCATTACTTCATTAAGTTTCACAATTTTACACTGAAAAACAAGAGGTGACAGATAAAAAGTCTTTAGTCAATAACCTGTAAGTGAATAGTTGGCTATTAACAGGTTGGTACATGCACAGAACCACTTAAAGAGGTAGCTTTCACTGTGAACACAGTGCCATGGGCCGCTGGGCTTTGTGGGGACCCTCTGTACCTCACCAGTGACAGCTCTGCTTTCATCTGTTATATGAAATTTAAGTTTTGCCTAAAAAATTTTCTGTAAACAACAAACTTGGAAACGACAACTTTTGGCTAACTGCGTGTAATTTCCATAGTCTGTGCTTCAGTGTCAGGCTTCAGAACTTCAGAAGGCTACAGACCTGTCCCTAACATACACTCATCATTGCAAACTTACAATATCTGCTTTAGAAATTTAACATCTGTGTAAAAATAAAAGAGAAAGAGCTTAACAAAACAGCTCAATTTTCATTCCCACATTTGCACAACAGCAATTATTATTACTATTTTTTGAGACAGAGTCTCGCTCTGTCACCAGGCTGGAGTGCAGTGGCGCAATCTTAGCTCACTGCAATCTCCACCTCCCAAGTTCAAGCGATTCTCCTACCTCAGCCTCCTTGTAGAGGCTGCTTCAATATCCCCTGTAGCTGGGATTATCAGTGCATGCCACCACGCCCAGCCGATTTTTGTACTTTTAGTAGAGACGGAGTTTCACCATGTTGGCCAGGATGGTCTCGATCTCCAGACCTTGTGATCCGCCTGCCTCGGCCTCCCAAAGTGCTGGCATTACAGCCACAAGCCACCGCGCTCGGTCACAGCAATTATTTTTAAAGCTCTGGGCATTCACACCTGTGGTCATTTACATTTGCCTGTATGAACACAGGCAGCAGAGACACAGATCAATCCAAACGAAAGAAAGGTTCAACCCAGCAGGGAGTCTGTGAGCAAAAAGCAGCTTCTGGGTGCATGTGGCTACACTCTGACACCAACCCTGGCTACAAAGAATCAGCGGATTCCCTCATCTTATTCACTGAGTTTTCAAATAAACCAAATCTTGAATCTCTATGAGGCATTCAAGATGCTACACAAGAGACAGAGCCTGGCCCAGGACCCCATTCCTGAGCAGTTGAGACCCATTCAATTTTGCTGAAGAACAAGGGCCCCTGAAAGCATCCAGTACTCTAGAGAAACATTCGCCTGAAGTAATTTTTAAAATGAGAACAGAGTCTAAAAATATAAATGAGAATTAAGAGCTCAAGGTAAGAAGACTCAGGAAAGGGAATTCTGGAGAATCCTCTGAGAAGCAGACTGTTTCCTTATTTGTACTAAAAGCTGTGTGTCCCAGCTGAACAGCACCACACCACCTTTATCAAGCTAACAGGTCTATCACCAGCACCAAAGGCCAGCCTAGCATGACAGTGAGGAGCAGGCATGCAGACGGGCATGCCTCCTCATATCTAGAGACGTGCAGGTGGCAATCTGTACATTAATCATGCTTGTTTACAATGCTCAATTTTTCAGTTAGACTTTCTCTACTTCCACTCACTTACTTTTGGTGCAATTTATCACCATTAATCTAGGAGAGCAATATGATTAGTGGTCTGAGTGCCAGATTACATTCATTTCCCAGTTCCCCAATTTACTAGTTGTATCATCTTAGTCAAATTAATCTCTCCGTGCCTCTAATTTCTTTATCTGTAAAATGAAGATACCAGCATCACCTTAAGGAGTTGTTATTAAAGCATGTAAAGAACTGACCAGAGGAGTCAGAGTAGGCGCTTCACAAAGCCAACTCTTACTATTATCAGCTCTGGCTACATTCACTTCAGGATCCATCATAGTCTAAGTACTAAGAAATAGAGATTCTAATGCAAAATTGTCTTGAAAGCACAACTGAGCTTCATCAATGGAATTCCACTGTTTCTTAAGCTTTACAGATTTAAAAAGTTTGAACTAGTATAGAAATAGGCAACAAAATCTACACTTTCATTGATAACATTACTCTAATTCTAAAGATTTAGGGTTCTGAAGTTGTACTGTTCTGTAAGTTCTTAAATCCAAAATTCTCAAGCACAAAGAACCATGAATCACAATTACCGTATGGAAACAGATGATCACAGAGAATTCCTTTCTAGGTGTCTCCTTCTGGATATTCATGTTTTCTCCAATACTGTTCATTAGAAGCTGTCATCCAACCTCCCTTGCACTGACTAACCACACTTTGTAAACAGATACAAGGTGTGGGGCTCCCACCGGCTGAGCTCTGCACTTAGCATGTGGTGGCTCTGCTTGTTCCCAAACTAGTTCACACCAGCTGCACCCAGCAGACTCATGTAACATACATGATATGTCACATTATGCATGAAATATGACTACCATGAGAGTGGCTATGTCCTCATGAAAACTAAGGAGGATGCTTTGGAAACATCCGATAAAAGGAAATTGCTAAAAATAAATCTGCTGTAGATTAGGTGCGGTCAAAACTGGAAAGATTTTATACTCATCTGTTATGCAAATGTCCTCAAGCTTTCTCACTACTGACAAAAAAAAAAAAAAAAAAAAAAAACTTGGAAAGGATGAATTAATTATAGCTGTGGCTTATGAAAGAAATAAATTTTGGTTCTCCAATCAATGTCCTGTGCTTGAAGCAAATGTTTTGAAGCTGCATTTTTTAAAAATTGGCAAATGAATGTATTCTTACATGTTTTATGCTGAAATAAAATGTATATGGTAGATTTTTTTTCACTCCCTGTTTTAACTGACTTTTAAAATTAACCAACTATTGCCAGATACACTTACATCAGAGAGGGCTTCTACATTAAAATAGTTTATGCCTGCTAAATCTACACCAAAATTGCCTCTAGTGAATTCAAACTATAAATTAAACATTTTTTCATGTTCAAGTTGCACCCAGTGAACTTTTAAAACGACATTTTACAAAAGACAGAATGTTTAAATAAATTTTACAGAAAATAAAGAAGAAAAAGGAAGCCAAACATCGTTGAGAAGCTTTGTCTGTTTTGCTGGTTTCAACCACACTCATTTGGTTTCCTCTGATTCGAAAGCAGTTCAGCACTTACCTGGGAAGTTTTAGTAAATTATACTACCTTTAGAAATTCTATGAAAATATGAGTTAAGAATGTATAATTCAAAGGTTTAGGCAACTAAAATATGAAAAAAATAGGAACAACATAACAGAAGATAATGTATGTTTTTAGCACACGACCATCCACATACCTGTTTTTGATGTGATAATATATTGCAAGAGCGACACTGTGAAAATAAAATGCAGAGGTTCAGTGTCCATGAGCATACTCAAGACCTTACACATTACCTGGCCACAGTCTGAACATAAATATTTAAACAGAAGTCAAAGCCTAACAATCTTTCTGAACAGTCTCATTTTATTCACAATACTGATCAGGAAAATGTCCTCTTCTGAGTAAATCAATCTGGCATTCATTCCCAGGAATAATATTACATCTCTTCTAGAAACAAAAGAACTTCAAGTGATAGTTAGAAGCAAACTGCTCTTTCTATTCAGAAATTTTCAGCTTTCCTCACTTGTATTAAAAAAAAAAAAAAAAAAGCACTATGTAAAACATTGGTGGTATAAAGAAAACAGCTTTAGAAATCTCCAACTCATAACCTACTAGTTTAGAAAATTCATGGTTTCTTTATAACTACCAGAAAAATGTGAATGTCACCCAAGAAGTTTGCTATTTTTCCCTTAATAACCTCTGGGCAATCTGCTCAAGTTATTCATTCACTTGCTAAAATGGTACTGTAACTTTTATTTGTAGCACTACTTAAAATTTTATTTTACATTTTAAAAGGTCTGAATTTAATGAACAACTACATTCCCTTTCTCTGAACTTCTTTTCTAAAATAATTTTTTTTCTGACTAGAAAATATATTCATTGTAGAAATTTTGGAGAACATATTTAGAAAATACAACTATTAGCTTAAGATATATGGCTTTCTATAAATTATGTGTGTAAGGAGACAGGTTTGCATCCTACTTTTAACTTTTTTCATGTTAACATTTTTTTATCATTAAAAACATGATTTTAAATGGCTGATTATATTCCTTCATATGGTTGTCGAAAACTTAACTATTCCCCACTACTGAACATTTAGGTTGTTTCTAATACTTTGCAATTATAATTAACACCATAATGAACATCCCAATATTTGTGCAATATACAACTATATTATTTCCATAAGGATACATCCTATAATTGGAATCACTTGACCTCAAGTCATTAACAATGGTAAGGCTCTCAACACATATTGCCAAACATCTTTGCAGAAAGTCTACACCAGCAGCGTCTGTTTCGACTCGCACTCACTGACACTGACCTGAATCTTTTGACCAAGTAGTCTCGCAACTGGACAGGTGAAAAAAAAAAAAAAAGTTTTCCTTTTTCTACCTGGGTTTCTTTAAACTCCTATCAAGTTGGCAGGGTTATTCATGTTCTGGACAGTTTTTTAAAATTTCCTCTTTCAAAAACTGTCTAGATACTTCCACTATTTTTGTTTTACATTAAAATTTATCGAGGATGCTAAAAATTATTTTTAGGTTTCTAAGAACATACGTAACTGTTTGCAGCAGACAGTGCTCTGATCCTCTCAGGGTACCGACTTGGCCCGAACATTTCCGCTTATTCAGCCACACTGGCTTAGAGACATGAGCATGCACCTTGGATTCCAAAGCACCCAGATGTTCCCTGTGACTTAACATGACAGTAGCTAATCTCACTCTCTTATATTCTTCTAAACCTCTCTCTTTCAGAGCTCTTCATTTAAATGACTTCCGCCTAGTGTTGAAAGTACTCATGAGCAAATAAGTGCTAATATATCCTTTTTCTTCTAACATCTTGAAAAGCATTGAAGCTGACGAAGAAACTGTAACTGGGGTAAAAGGGCTTCAGAATTTATAAAAAGTAATAAGGTTTTCAAAGTGTTTTCACATACGTTAATAGTCCTGTAAGAAAAAAATAGATGTTACTGATTCTATTTTATAAATGGGAAAAACTCAGGTTTAGACAGTAGCTGCCAGGATTTCTGGCCTGTATAAGGCTGTGTGCCCTTCCGTTTTGACCATGTAGCCTCTGGGAAAGGGAGGAATTAGTTTTATTCATTTACTAGTCATGCTGTGATGATTGTTCTTCTAATCTAATGTTACATTTCAATGAAATGTTTCACATGATTAATGTCTTTGAGAAAGAAGATGTTCCTGCTTCCCCTGTGAGGGAGCATACAGCAGTAGAAATATCACTAGACTGAAGTCACATCAACCTGGGTTCTGAACCTGGCTCCTTCCTCTTTATTAGTGCGAATTCACCTCTCAGAGCTTTCATCTCCTCATTTATAAAATTAGAACAATACAACCCACATCGTGGAGTTGTAATTATGATCAAATAAAAAAAAAGTATATAAAAGCATGATCTTACATTAACTTTTAAAAGAAAAGTTACTATTATTGTTATTCCCTAGTGTGTCTGGCTTCTGCGGAACGGGTGAGAACCTTCAGGGCCCCAAGATTACTATCTCCCAAGCTAAAGTCAGATTGGATATTATCATGGCCTAAGACCTCCAGGAAAAGTAGAGCCACTCTGTAGGCCAATTTCCATTCAAGGTTATATCCCAGGAAGTGAGACCACCAGGCTGAGGGTCCAGGTACAGTACAGCTCCATGGACTAGTTTAGCAGTCACCTGGAAGGAAGTGACTGCCCAAAGAGGCTGTCAGCTGACAACTGAATCAGGCCCAGGCTTGCAGCTTCACCCTACACACAGTCTCTCTTGTCAAACCTAAGGCTGGAATCACCCCAAAAACGGATCTCTGCGCCACTGTGCCCCCTTTTAATTAGGCAGTACGATGGCCTGAGATAGTGGGCCAAGTGGAAATGAAGGTCCTTTCATATCTTAGTGGCTCTAGAACGGTCTGCAATATTTCAACTGTTTGCAGCTGTGTCTTTTGTCAAATATGGCTATTGGAAAAACCAGCCTCACCCAACTAGACCATGTCCAGGACTTTATGGTGTCCCCCAGTTCCTGGACTTTCTGTTCATTGACAACCTATCCTCTGGGAATTGCAGGTATTTTAGAACCTTTTAGGTAGCCTTTTTTAAAAGACTCAAACCTGTGTAAGTCAGTGACATATTATCTATACAATGTTTCAGGCAATATGCAAGGCATTCACCCAAACAGCCAGGTCTCTGGTCATCAAGCCAAGGCAGTAGTGGGGCTCTGTGAGCACCCCTGGAGGAAAGCCTGAAGGGTTCACTTGGGGCCTCTCTGGTGAAAGCAAACATAGGACTCTGGATCTAAGGGTATGTTCAAGAAAGATTTGTTGCAGGACAGTCTTTCATATTCCTAAACAGTTAGTCTTTTGGGGCTAACATTTGGGACCGACCACAGCATGTGTGGCCAGAGTTACCTTAGTTTTTGGTAATCAACCATCATCCTTCAGAGGCTGTTACATTTTTGCATCAGCCAAACACAGCTGTTATATGGGTTCTGTGTAGGATGCACAATCCTCACTCTCTTTCGTTTTTGAGTAGCTGCTGTTATCTTTCTGAGTCTTCCTGAGAGATATGTATCTGTAGAATCTATCTTGGGTAGGGTCATATACTGGCTGTCATCTGGCCTCCCCCTGGAGTGTGGCTCTTATCACCCTTGCCCAGAGATGGAATTTGTCTGCGTTCCTCTAAAGGCAGCTCCCAGGAGACTGTCTCTCCCTAAAATGTGTTTTGGGACTGAGATGCAGACCCACAGTGGGTAAGTGGAGCATGTCTAATTTGTAACAGGAGGCGTGTTCATCTCACAAAGACAGGTGGATAGATCTCTGGATCCATATCTATGAGTCAGGGGCCCAGAAACTGTGAGGCTCAGCAGGCATGGAGTACGCTCAGCCCTGGAGCCACCAGAGTCAAAACTATGTTTCGAGGGAACCAATGAATGGCACCACACTGAGGAGAACTTTGCTTTCTTATCAGTGTAGAGGTTGCAGTGCTCACCACCTTCTATCCTTGGGTTTTTTCCTACAGGCAGTGTTCAGGGTTTAGGATTAACCCTAGTGGTGAACTGGTACTCTGGCTTTGGGGGTTTTTAAAAGTCTAAGGAGAATTGTACCGGGTTGTCTATTTTGTTTTTGGACCTGTCTTTAGAAGGTCTTGTCAAATTTGGCTCCTCAACACCCGTTTTGTTGGCTCTCCTTTTTTTTCTGGTCTCTTTTCAGGTTCCCCTGTTTTTGCAGCACTCCTCACCTTAGCTGTGCCAGTCATTGTTTCTACTTCCCCTATTTCAGCCACGAAGCCCCATCCAAGGGACATACGGTGGGAAACAGTGTCCTTCCATCCAGGTGGAGCAGTCTTGAGGGGTTTACCGTGCATGCTGGCAGTGAACGGGGTGCCATCCGGCCCCTGGAAAGCAGGGGCATAGACCGCCACCCTCAGTGTCAATCTGTGCAACAAAGCCTGTACCTTGTTTATAGGGTTCTATGGTGAAGGACCCCCAGGCATATCTCCTTCGCAGGGTCAGAATGATCCTGTCTCTCAGGGAACAGCCCAGGAGCCAAGTAGGTGCTGTCTGATAGAGGAGGGCTGTGACATTGCTAATCTTTTCTGCCTCACCTCCAGACAGAACCACCCATTGGTGTCTACCCTACCAGACAAGTGCCTAAGGCCTCCTTTAGTTTCTGCCCAGAGTGGCTAACCAGATCAATTAACCCTGGTGAGCCACAGAGTTAACCGGCTCTTACCACCCTTATCAAATCCAAGTTAACCAGGCCAGAGAGTGGTCAAGGCACTCTGATTTTCAGTTAGGACACAGAAAGAACTCAGGGGACTTGGGGGACCCTGAGTGCCCAGCTTCAGAGGCTTGGTCAGCTCTGCCAAGTCCTCAGAAAATGGTGCAGTTTCACCAAGGAAGGGCCAGAGCCCTAACAGAGAACAGAACATTTGGACTATAGGGTTTGCTCAGTGGCTTTTCCCACTTAGCTGGGGAGGAAGTAAATGCTACTTTCTTGCACAAGAAAACAAAATGGATTTGTGACTTCTGGCACTGCATTTGTCTTACTTCTTACCCAGAGCTAAATTAGCAACGTACATGGCAATCCTAAAACCTCTGAAGGGCAAGAAGGGGTGGGTTCTAGCAGCACAGAGGGGCTGAGCCATAGACAGGGCTGTGATGGGTATTAGCTCTTCCCTGGCCCTGGAGGCCAAGAACCCTGATGGTGTGGCCAAGTGCGCACAGGGGCTCCCCAGCACCCTCCACTCTTTTCTTTGATCATCATCTTATGCTTGTCAGAGGATTTGGTGGAGAAGGTTTGGCTGCAGAGGCACAAAGTGTGGCTGACAAACTCTAAATTCATACCACAGCTGTTGGCATTTAGGGGAAAAATAGGAAAATCAAGTTCTCAAAATAAAAAATTATGTCTACAGAAAGAGGGAGCACTGAAAGAATACCCAACCTTTTTATAGCTTTTCTTTCACTGTTAGATTAGCACTCAACCCTCCACCCAATCCCCAACTAGAATCTGCAAATATGTTTATTTCTGGCAATCCCCACTTTACAGGTGGATTATCTTCCAAAAATCAGCTTATAAATCACTATTTACAACCTAGGGCATCCTTCTCACAGTTATAACTTTGTAACTGGATTTCAGGAAGCAACTCTGGCCCACAAATGCTCACTTATGCCCACAATGAAGTTGAACTACAATATTAATTATTGTGTTATCAGTTTTAATGTCTGGAGTAGGATGCAAGAGGACCCGGGGTTAACAGGAGGCAGAGAAAGCAAAAAAGAAAATAGGAGTTTTCTTTGGACAGGAGTAGGGCAAGATTTAGGCAAAATTTTAGAATGGGATGGCATGTGGATTTCACAACTTCCTATCTTTTTCACTCTTCTTCCTTCTGAGTATCCCTTTCCTCTCACATTGTCAACACCCCTAGCGAAAGAACTCAACTGGACCTGCTAACGTCTCTATGTTTTTCCCTCTTTACCTACAGGAAGTGTGAGATGCTGGTATTTCCAGGGAAGGATTCTGATGGCACTACTTCAGTTGGGTCCCACCCTGCCCAGCTCCCAGTGTGCATTTTAAAAAGAGGATACTTTCGGCTGGGCACTGTGGCTCATGCCTATAATCCCAGCACTTTGGGAGGCCAAGGTGGGTGGATTGCTTGAGCCCAGGAATTCAAGACCAGCCGAGGCAACACGGTGAAACAAATGTCTCTACAAAAAATACAAAAATTAGCTGGGCGTGGTAGTGTGTGCTTGTAATCCCAGCTACTTGGGAGGCTAAGGCAGGAGGATCTCTTGAGCCTGGGAGGCGGAGTTACAGTGAGCTGAGATCATGCCACAGCACTCCAGCCTGGGGATAGAGATCCTGTCTCAGAAAAAAAAAAAGGGAGAGGGAGAGGGAGAAAAGAAAGGAAATAAAGGGAGGAAAGGGAGGAAAGGGAGGAAAGGAAGGAAGGAAGGAAGGAAGGAAGGGAGGGAGGGAGGGAGGGAGGGAGGGAGGGAGGAAGGAAGGAAGGAAGGAAGGAAGGAAGGAAGGAAGGAAGGAAGGAAAAGAAGATACTTTTTAAAGCAACTGAATTACAGACTGAAGGAGTTTCAAATGTGTGCAGTGCAGAGACCATGTCTTCGGGTCAGGGAAGCCCAGTATCTACACTGAAATCTCATAGCTAGCTAGCTTGTTCCTGCTCTTCAGCTTCTCTGTTCTCTACATTCTAACCCACAGTTCATTTAGAAGTGGCAGGGGGACACTGTTGGGGGAGGGGAGGGCAGCTATCCACTTCCATCCGGGGTCCTCAACCTTGGCTGCCTGTGAGACTCTCCTGGGGAGGTTTAAAAATCCAGATACCCACAGTATACCTCAGCCAGATTCAATCAAGATCTGTTAAAAATCCAGATACTCACAGTATGCCTCAGCCAGATTCAATCAAGATCTGCAAGGAGACCTCAATCATCAATCGTCAGTGTGGTTTTAAGCTCCCAGGTGACTCCTAGGTGCAGCCAGGGCAGGAACCAGTGATTTACACAAACAACACATTTCTAACTTAGGTGCTTGTGCCTCCTAGACTTGACCAACGAACTATCAAATTGTCACACAGTTCTCTCACCAGGCTAGTAAGTGTCTGTATCACAGCCAGTGGCAATTTTAAGTGGTCCAAGGATGAAAGTGTTGAGCAACTAAGACAGAGCCACTTGTGAACCCCAAGAGCCCCCACTGCCCCAGGATAGGAAACTGTGTTACTCTGCCCTGGCTTCCAACGAGAGGAGTCCAGGATTAAAGGGAAGTTAGCAGCTTCTGTTCTGGGCTCCTCAGAGATTGAGCAGAAGCCAACAGTCATGTGGCACACAGATCTTCAGGGCTTTCCACTTCTCTCCGCAAGTCCTAATAACTTAATATGGAAAACACTTCCAAAGGTACTGCACATCCCATTTCCCCTCAGTAAACCACAGCCCAAGGGTAAATGTGGCTCAGGCAAGGGCACACATGGTGGAGCTAGGATAGAGCTCTGTGAGCACTGCCGGTGTGAGTTTATGCCCACCAGTCACTTCCCGTGCACTCTGGTGCTGAGGACGTAAGGGAAGAGGCTGCATAGCCATTTAGATCCTGGAAGCACGGAACCTGAGAGGTGAGAAGAACCTTCTCCTCCACCTTTTGCCTGGAGCAGACACTGACCACAGATGGTTATAGTCCTCACTGCCTAACTGATCATCACCTGCGGTCATACTCAGAACAGGGCTTCTAAGCCTGAAAACCTGGCCCACTGAAATGGATGAATACTCCTTATTTAAAATTTAAACACTTATTTCATATGCTGACACGTATTGTGAAATGTGTGCTTTCTTAAACAAGTATAGAGACAAAATTCAGATTTTTTAGAACAGAGCTGCTGACCACAGGCCCAAGCACATCAAGTTCTCTATAGTCCCTGCCAAGGGTCGTTATTACCATAATGCTAGTGGTACAATAAAGGAAAATCCAGTGTTCTCTCCCTCTTTGAAGTATGGAAACTGAAGCCCCATAAGGGAAAAAAGTTTATCCCAAGACTCCCTTTTTCTCCCTCCCTTGTAAACTCCATTTAAAAATATGGAATTAAAGGCCCCCAGAAAGGGTCCCACCCATGTCCTCCCTGTTGGTGAGAACCGTCATCGGAACTCAGATCTCCAGACCCCAGGCGAGTGCACCTTCACCAGGCCAGGCAGGCTTTCTACTGGACCCCTGGGTCTTCAACTGGGAACACAGGAGTCTTGTTTTATTTAGAAGGTAAAAAGTTAGTGGATTTATGCCAGGATGGCTTCAATAAAAAGTGCAAGGGTAGAAAGCATGAACAAAAATCAAAAATACATTTTAAGTAATCTACATTTAAAATACTTTTAAATTCTGGTCTTTTAATATAAATATGTAAAAATATTTCGAATACCCCACATTTAACTACCAAAATCATTTTTTAAAAAGATTTCCTGAATTATCAGTGCTATCCCCACTCCCACCCATCCAATCTTATCACTCCCAGACCCCACAACCAACCAGCTTAGCTGTCAGGTTAAGGAACAGAAAAAGCATTCAGTTAAGTTTAAAAAAAGAAAGAAAGAAAAAACCATCCATATACCCACCATTTAATTGTATACTTGAGGTTTGGTTGACTGACTGTGCTATCATCTAGGAAAATGGTGGAGCAGGAACTGTATTTCCTTGCTATTTGTCCTGGAGGATGCTAGAAAACAACAGCAACAAGATTAACATCACCCCCTTAACTTGAGATAAGACCACAGAGGAAAAATGTCTTAGCAAGAAAATGTCAACATTACCACCAAGAACAGTACAAAAACACTTTATTCATAAAATGAACTTCCTTGCTCTTCCACATATAAAAGTCACCAGGACCATGCCTAGTCCCTAACTTCCTGCATCAGGAGAACAGTAAACTCTTGCAATCAAGCATCAAAAAGTATGTTTCAGAGTCCACAAAAATCACCTGCCCCATGGCTTGTATGAAACATGGGATCTACTACACTAACAAAAGCCTGCAATTTAGATGGTGGCCTGGTTTTATGCATAAGATCAAGACAAGCGTCCACTGTACCCACTTTCCTTACTCTTGAAATACAGTTGATTTAGGGGCCATGGAAAATGCAACCAATGTTAATTTAGAATCTCCTGATTAATCTGCTTGAATTTCAGCAGGTAAAGTTATAATGAAAAAATGCTGCTTTGTTAAGGACAAAATAAGTTTTAAAGGGGAAGATTATCTGATACTTTTGAAAATACAACCAATGAATGACTTTTCGGTACTTCTTTGTGTGGTCTTATGACAGGTTCTTTCATAATTGTACAAGCGCTGGGCTCTTTGGGGAACTTTAGAACAGAATTTCTTCTAGAAGGTACCGGTGAAGTAAATAGAATTTATAGCACATACTGATGACAGCTAGCTGAACACTAAATAGATTTCTGGCAACAATCGGGCAATATGATAAGTACACATCAATCTGGATAGCTCCTGATCAAAAGCAAACTAGAAAAAAAATTTAACTATGCAAACAAGTTTCCATGTGCCTGATGCTATGTTGAATGTCTGAGTGTCATTTTCAGCAACAAAAAAACCAACAATTCCTTGGGGATCCCAATAGCATATGCCTGACCTGGCTGCCTACAACATACCCTGGGTATACACAGTTCACGAATTTAGTAAAGGAAGCCTCAATGTTAGAGACCAAATGCCCTGTTCAATATCTTAAAGTTTATTTCCCATTTAATAAGATTTCCTCAGTAATAAAGTAAGGAAAATGTGAGGCAGCCTGAGAAATATATAAACAACGTTATAAACAGAATCTCTTCTCAAAACTAGATAACAAATGATACTAGTTACTTCTTTGGGGTTCCAATTTCTTAAATCACAGTTAGACAGCACTGCACTGCTGAAGCATCCTGACCCTCGGAGCCCTAGTCTCACATCAACAGCACACGGGTCAGAAGGAAAGAACCACAACCAGGAAATTCAGAAGCTAAGGCCTCTCCCCAGGGTTCTTTCCTTAGGCTTACACTCTCAAGTGCCTGTGTGGAGACAGGGCATAGAGAATGCTTGTGAAATTCAAGTCTCAAATCAAATGTCAGTTTTCACATGGCATTTAACATCTATTAAATGAATCACATTTCATTAAGACAATCCAGACATTAAAAACAATTCTCTTCCTCTTTTTAAAATCTTGTAGCAATCACATGTAAGTCATAAAAGACATACTAAAGCCTCAGACTCTAATAACAGCTATTACTACAGGTAATAAACTAAAAATGCTTAGGGAATAAACTAAAAATGCTTAGGGAATTTTTCCTACAGATGTAAAATGTACTACAAACAAAAATCTGTCTTTAACACAGACACTATATTTAACATTAAAAGCCAGTAATTAAATTTTTTCTGGTGTTAATAAATTTTTAGAGATATGGGATAACTTTAGAAATCCCAACAACGAAGGAAAAGGACAATAATATTTCATTTGTGTTTCTTGTGGGGTTTCAATTGTTTCCTCTGATGCAAACTCCTTCCCGATTAAAATGTAACAGGGCTTGCAAAGAATAAATGGTTTCCCTAAGAAAATATAAGCCATGAAGTCAGGGAAAGAAGAGTGATACACGGGGTCATGGGATCCCTCAGGATACAGAGAATATCCCATCATAATCTAGGAAGTAACCTTTGTGAGTTAATGGGCAGGACACCCCTCTGAGTGCACCGTCCCTAAGGTTCAGAGAGTTAACTCAAAGCCAGCCACACAAAGGGACCCTGCCCTAGCCTGAGGACTGTCCCAGGTGCGGGTCTGAGCATCCCAGAACTAAGGGCTGATCTGCCAAAGCCCTCGATCCCAGGGGGATGCCAAGCCAGCTTTTAAACTATTTAATAACTTTGAAACTGAATAAAAATCCCAAATATTGAGTTATAAAGATTTTAGTTTCAGAGTATCTCAACACTCTAAAGACCATTTAGGCACTAAGTCATTTGTTGACTGTCAGGACTACAAGACTCACAGAATGTGAACTTCGCTTAATCTGAACCCCACATCACTAAAAAGCTGAAAGAGCTGTAATCCTTCCACCAGAAATGCTCTTGACCCCAGGGTTGTCTCTGGTTTTTGTTGTTGTTGTTGTTGTTGTTGAACTGGTTCTCTCAGGGTGTGGCAGAGGAAAGTACAACACCTCCTGCTGTGTGGTACTATCCAACAACTGACTGATGCTTGGCCTCTGGACGCGGCAGAGGCACATCACTCACAGAACAGGGCACTCTAATTTGAGTTTTCATAAGCACACGTGTGTCACGTAGTTCTCAATGTTACTCAAAATGTTTTTGTTAATGTATTGCTCCATGATTCTGAAAACACTGGTATGTTTGTACATGTGTGTGCACGCGCACACACAGACCCTGCCACTTAGGTTCCCATCTTTGCTAGTAAATGACACGGCAAAGTGATGCGCTGGAGAAACAACAGGGCATGACTCTTAGTAGTCAATCTGACTTGGACATAACTAGCTGTGTGACCTGGGCAAGTTACCTGGCCTCCCTCTCTGTCCCTCAGTTTTCTTAGCTGTAAAACAGAGATGAAAATGACAGACCCTACCTCATGGGTCTATCAGAAGGAGTGCATGAGTTAGTATTTGTAAAGCACCTTGAGCAGGGTGAGCATGTGGAAAGCACCTGTCGGTAATGGTTAGGTAGAAACTGCGTTAAACAGGTCAACAAAGCGACAGGGATATTCTTTATGCCTAACGCTTACAACATTTTGGAAAAACATAAAAGGAAATGCCTAAGGCAATGTTTTACTTGCAAAGGATGGGCATCACCCTACAGACAACTTAGAAAGATTGTCCCAAAAACAGCAAGTGTCTTAGCGAGAGCACAGATACTATAGAGTCCACCACGAACTGCTTAGAAGAGGAGCCTGATGAGTGAGAAGCCCAATTGTGAATTATTCTAAAGAAATAAAATTTATATCTTTGAAATAATGTGAACCTTACAGATTAAGTTATGAATATGCAGAATAATCAAATTTTAGAGCTAGACTGAAGCAAGTTCATTTAGTCCACGTATTCACACAATGTCTACAGTACAAAATGTGATTTACATCAAGGTCCACTAATATATGAAAACTGCTGAATGACATATTTAAGAAGATTTTATTGAAGAGTTATCATGTGTCTCAAATAATGAGATTATCCCCTTAGATAATTCCAATACTGATGTACGTCAGATACAAAGATACATGGACATGCACATGTACATGCACACACAAACATAAAATCAAAGTGCAGGATGAAGAGAAGGAGGAAGCAGAGATAAGACTTCCACTGGACCTTACACAATGACCCCAATCTTTCTCCCAACTATTTCAACTGCTCCCAACCGCGACACCTCCTCAAACCCTCCACCCATCACCATGCTGAGCTCCCCACAGGAAGTTCGAGTCACAGAACCCAGAGGCCACCAGACAGCGTCCCCTCACTTTCTTGCCTCTTCTTCCTTGGCAAATCGGTCATACCTCCCTCTACCTGGAGTAGAAGCCCTAACTCTCTTCAGGCCAGAACTAATTAGTCCCTTGGCTTCTTCAAAATGTCTTTCTGAACTGGCTCAACCTCCACACTTCCTCCCCATTCACAAAAAACTCTAAGTCTGCTATGCAGATGGGTCCTCTGCAGTCCTCCTACCAATTTGATATTTGTACTGAAGTTTTTTTCTTTCTGGGGTTTCCTCCTTGCTTTCTCCCATCTTTCTGGCCACTCAGTCTCAGTCCCTTTGTGGACTCTGCTTCTCTGAATTTCCTTAGATGTGATGGTCTTTTCTTCTTCCTCTAAACACTTTCCCAGAGGACTCTCACCCACTCTCATTAATTCAACTTCCTTCTGCCCTCTGTTGAGTCCCAAATCTCTCCTCTCCGGCCCCAACTTCTGTTCTGAGCTCACTACTGCCTGGTTGACCCCTCCATCTCAATGTTCCTCATGGGCACCTCAAATGCCAAACTAATTTGTTCCTCTAATCAAGTGTAATGGCTTAAAACCAGAAATCCTCGTTTTCCTTTCTGTTGGTTTCCTTGTATCAAGTGCTATCAATTCTACTCCAAGTACACTTTCACATCATCCTTTCCCCTGCACCCCTCTAGCCACTATCGGGTATATGAAAGCCACATCGTCTCTCACCTGTATCACTGCAGTAACCACCTTGCCTCCAGGCTCACTCCTCTCCAAACCATTCTTCTTCAAGTGCTACTGTCACCTTAATACAAAGCAAATCAGATCGTGTTGCCTCCCTGCCTAGATGGTTCTGAGGTTCTCCACTGGGGAGAGGCACACGAGTCAACTCTCCATCTCTCCAGGTTCACTGTTTACTTCCTCTTTCCCTGCACACCACACTTGGACATAATTCAAAGATGAAAGGAACAATGGCCAGTTTTATTTAATGGCCATCAAGGATGAGCCCACAGTGTTCTGGGTTACTTTATGTGTATTCATTTAGAGCTCACAAACATTTAGAGCCCTGCAATGCAGGTAGAATTGCCATTTAACAGATAAGGAGATCAGAGAAGTGAAGTAGCATTTCCAACATCAAATCTAAGACACCAGAGCATAAAGCCATATTTGTCTGACTCCCAAGCCCGTGCCTCCCTCCCTGAGATTCTGCAGCCCTTCCCTTCAGCTGTTCTCTCCTAAACCTTCTCGTATAATACCCTAAAG